CATGCAGTATTCGTGATAAGGCTCAAAGGCCCTCAGCTTTCAAGTCACAACCCTCTGGACGGCTTACGTGTTCAACCCCTGAATTAAGTGCACAATTTCAACCTCACCAAACAACCAAACAAGAAGTGACCAAACCTGGAAAGCATGTCCTGTAGCCTTCACATGGTAACAAGTGATGTGAAAAAGTCGAGCTCCGTACTCTCTTGGGCATCATTGAAAAACGGATGTTGTCGCGGCTTCCAGCTATGCAGAACATGATGAAAATGGAAAGGTGATGCCCAGTACTGCGGCAAGCAGTTTCAACACTCACTCGACCGACAGAGTGAAACCTGAAAAGTGAACGGCTGTTGCACTTTACTTAGGCGAATTACTAATTCAAAAGTGTAAATTCAGACATCGATTTACTGTCAATTGTTAGCCTGGAAAGGCTTTCCCCGAAGGGTTCCTGCCAACTTGACGTATACAGCAGGAATGACACACTTGCTCAGAAACAACATTGCGAATTTTGTTGTGGAATGCATCATACGTGCACAAAACAATCCCTTACAAACTGCCAGGAAAAAATTAGTTGATCCAGCGTGAATTTCAGTGCGAAGTAAGCTTTCTGAGGACGGTTCTGATGCAGCGAAGTCCAAAATAAAATAAATAATGCCAGATTGCGACAACAGTGCAGTAGATTGAACAAAGCAAATGATTGACAAATGAAACGGCATGGTGGTTCTTGGGTTAGCCACGTCCCATCACGATGAAATAAAAACTGATGCAGGTACGCCAGACTGGCCAAGTCTGGTATCACTGTCGATGGTAAGTGTCTTCGTTGGCAGGAGACTTACCATGACGCTCCTGCCCCCTGCAAATTACATTGAGGTACAACGGCAATGAAAATCATCCCTAATCAAAACCGGAAGTTTTACATCTTTGCAGATGTTTCACACACACACACACTAACTCACCTACCTACATACATACCTACATACATACCACCATCGTCCCTCCATCACTCTCATACTTCCTCTTCCCTTCTCGCTTTCTCTGCTCAGTCTAAGTCTAAAGAAGTTGGTAACATGTGGGGTTATCCGGTCCTTTAATTTATTAATATACATCATATGTGATGATGAAATAAATGCTTCTCCAGTTTGGTCGGTTCACTTGGCACAGCTTCTGGCCGAGAGTCTTCCACTATCTTGAGAGCTGCATTCTTCTTGATCTCCAATCTTGCATCATCCGCTTGAAAGGTCGTCTCCTTAAGCTTCAAAGTATTGAGAAACTCCAACCAACCACCACGGACGAATTGGTCCACAATAATGGCTTGGAGCTGCGCTCGAGTGATCGCATGATAAAGGCGCGCTCTCGTGAAATTGTCTGTGTCACCAGTGATTTGCGCATCAAAGCCAATGCATATCACAAACAACTGTTCCAAACCTTTCGCATTGCTGTCCCAGTCAAGGATGAGGTGATCCTCCCTCCTGTCCTGATGTACAGCCTCTGGTAAGAAACGTAAAGATTCCTCAAAGGAAACCAGCTGAATGTTGTAAGTAGGCCCAAAATCTGCCTCCAAACGCTCCTCAAGATGTAACTTGAAAATCCTGTGAAAATGTTCGTTTGGTACAAGCAATGCAACGTGCCGATCAAGCCGAATGCTGGGGTGCCTTTGAAGAATGAACCACAGAGCTTTCACTGTGTTATCCGCAAACTGAGCAAACAACCCACCATCATACCCCTCGGGCACCTCGAAGATGAATGATTTCAGTGGAGGACCAGTTGTGCCAAGACATGTAGTTGGCTTACCATCTTGCAGTTGAAATGCCCTTGCTCCAAACACAATTCGCTTTGTGCTGCGGACGACCTGCGTGAGATTCACCCGCCGCATTTCAGGATACTTGTCTTCCAGTAAGAAGGACTGTGAAAGGTCTGAGAGAATCAACTTGCTCTGGGCACGAACTTCCTGGAATATGCTTTGATTCGTTCTGAATATTTCATGGGCCTTATCAAAAACTGCAAGAATCAAATCATCCGGCATGACCGCCAATTCCTCCAAAACGATGCGGGAGTCTTCAATTTGCACTCTCAGGAAACTGTCATAGGGTGCATGCATCAAAACAAGCCTTTGTAATAGCTTGTTCGTGGAAGCCTTTGGCAGGGAAAATCTTGCACGCCTGAGAAGCCAGTGAATGAAGTAGAAGTTCAGAGACCGGTTCGGGGAGATGAATAGAATCTTCCCCTGATTGTTCACAAAGAGTTTGTTGATCACATGCCGAATTGCCAAAAACGTCTTCCCGGCTCCAGCCGAGCCTGACACATGGATGTCTTCATGCCAATATCTGGAAAGTTCTTTGAGTTTCTCTGCTTGATGATTTGTGAGCTGTGAGGAAGTCAAAAGACTTGCTGAATATTGGTCGAAAAACGATGTATTGTCCACAGCCAGCTCTTCTGTAATTCCACACTTTTCTAAAGCACCATTCAGTAGAGATGCCAAGTCATCACTTAGCACTGCATCTCTCAGCCGGTGCTTTTCCTGAATATGTTGCAGATCAAAATCCACTGCCAAGGAAGGCATGCCGTTCTGAAGTCGCGACTCATGTACAGACTTTACATGGAGTTTTGTTGCATCCTGCACGATCTTCTTCAAAGAGTCCTTTCCCAATACGTTCAAGTGCAAGAGCTTCTCAAAAAAGTCCGTGGCGTGCCGCAGACGCTTGGTCTCGAATTGTTTCCCTGTTTTCTGGCACGTCACCTGCCATTTCATATCATGATGGTCATGGTCGTTCTTGGTGTCCTGAGGAACAGGCGTTTGGAGAAGCTCAGCTGTGACAAAACTATTCTGATCTGGGTCAAATGCGTCGACAATGTCACCAGGTTTGAACTGTCCAGCCAAGAATTCCGTCACATCAACTTCGTCATAATCCCATCTGCAATCTGTGCGCCGCATCTCATCCAGCTTGGCGATTTCACCCTTTTGGGAGCCACCGCACCCTTTCCCATCCCAAAGTTCGGCCGTTGGAAGCATTGTCCAGGGGACTTTGCCCTGGCCTACTTCACCCGGGAAGAACACCACTTTAAGTTTTTGTCCCAGGTCTACTGCTGTCTTGACTCGGTGAAACCACTTCTGAAACCAAGCGCAGCCCCAGCTGGCTCTTTTCTGGTTCTCCTCCCACAGTTTTTCAGCGTGTTTTCTATCTTCATCAGATGCCTTTCCAAACACGATATGACTATTCATTGCTTCTGCTCTTTTTTTTCGTTCTGCTTTCTCCTCATCGGTGCATATGTGTTTTACCTCTTGGAGGTATCCCAGAGCTTTATAGTTGCGCTCACCGTAGATCTGTGCACAGAGACATTGCTGCAGATTGTCATCTGGAAAGTAGTGCTGCCCAAGCCCATGCTCAGTATCACAAAGGAATACGCATGCCACGGAGTCCTTGACGTGTCCGCTTATCAGGGAGTCCCACCCTGTTTCGAATTTCCCTGGGAACGAGACCCAGCACACTTTGGCACTGGGATCAATTTTTCCGAAGTAGCTGTTGCCTCTGAAGGAAAGGACAGCAGGACTCTCCTTCAGAATGAAGTGAAGCGTGTTGAGCTCCTAGCGAAACGTTCTTTCTTGCAAGCAAGCCATGTAAAGATCAAAGCAATCACTTTTGATTAAAATAATATATAAAATGTTGATATTGAGGCCAAAAAGTCACAGCAATCTGTAAAACCTGTCCAAATATCTTTCACTCTAAACAGGAATTTGCAGCGCCCCAATATGCATATGATGCGGGCCCTCTATGCCAAACTAATTTGCGGGTCCGACCAAACATGAGAACCTGAGCTACTGCTAAGTTATGGAACTATGAACAAGGCACATACTGCTACCCTGCGTTCTTCCATTGCCCGCCTTTGGAGGTTCACGCTCCGCTCGTTGATCGACTTCAGCCTCAAAATGCATGTTTTGGTTGTTCGCTTTGACGCCACACGTTGAAAGGGAAACTGCCTTTAAGAGAATCAGCCAAATCAAACAAGTTCTCGACCTTCGCCAGGGAGGTGCAGCAGCCCATGGTTCGACAAATTCTATCATACTGTATTTTAGCCAAGATCTGCGGTCACCGGATCAGTTTTCAGCCTCGAAGCAGACTCAACCAGTGCACCTCCAGCATCACCCAACATGTCACTCCAACATGTCACTCCAACATGTCACTACTCTATCACTGATCTTTCATGCTATTCGCGGCTACCCTCTTTTTCATACTCAGAGGGAAATCGACGATGGTTTTGTTCAATCCTCTTGAAGAAACTGTATGTGTCAAGATCGTCAAACATACAATGGTGACACGCCGAAGGGCAAGTGTACTTCTTCATGCATGATGTTGCAAAAATGGAGACGGTTGCCCAACCAACTTGCGCTTTAGAAACCCTTTTCAGATCTGGTCATTTCTTCTGTTGCAACCAAGGCACATGATATATCTGAATGTGCATGCATTGCGAATCCAAAACGTTCATCATTTTGGGAATATGATATGTGGTTTTAGGATTCACATCTAAAGCCGCCCAACTTTGGGGGGACCCAAGTTTGATCCATACCCTCTGGACCCCATGGTGTTGGGTGGCGCATCTTTGTTCATACAAATAGGATGCACTCCAAAGTCTCCAAAGGCACCTTTGGCCCGAAAGTTGATATATGTTGAAATCACCATAGCGAGCCTGCAAAAATGAGAGGCAAAGCAGGTGACTGGAGATGTGTTGCCTAAAATCACATGTTGTCAGCCACTCGCAGACATGTCCAGTATTTCTTGTACGAAGACAACTCGCAAGGGTGCTTGTTGTACAGGTATATGGATAGGATCTTGCACTGGGGAGAACTTGCTGACAAGGACAACTGATTAAAAGGTGCCCAGCATGTTGTGATAAGCCCAGCATTTACAGCTTTGGTTTTTGAATGTTCATCAAGTGTCCCATGTTTGCTAATGAACAATGTAACAAAGCTCCCTGAGATCTGCTTGGCTGCCCCATAGTCATGCTTATCATTCCCCTGACCTTTTTGATGATGGTTCCACTGCTTCATTAATCGTCATTACCAGCCAAAATTGACAGGCACATGAGACACCACGGAGCTGTTCCCGGTGCCAGGCCTTATATTTCATGCCTTGGGCGGAGCAAAGATGTTGCTGCTGCAGAACAGCCGCCAGATCGATCTTGGTGCTGAGGGTGTCTCTATCCTCCTACGCACAGGTCAAGAAACGGATCTGACAAATAAAGTGCGTTTGACCTGGCGAGAATTCTTTCCCCAAACAATGCTATTTAAAGATCTAGTTCATCGACTTTTTTGAATACTCACGTCCTTGCCAAATCGTTGCTCTTGGATCTCCAGGACTTGCTTCAACTTGTTGCTCTCCCAAAGTGCCTGGTTTGGGGTTTTGTGCGGCCGGCTCTCTTGCATGACAAGAAGACGCAATGCCTTGCTTTCTGCAAGGCTTTGCAGAGATTTTCCTGCCTTGATCTCGAAAACAAATTTGTTCCACTCTTCTCTGGCCTCCAGTTCGGTGTCGAGATATTCCCAAGATTTCCAAAGCATTTAGTATGAAGCTGAGACAAAATGAGATTTTCTACCCCGAAAGCTCAAGTGATCTCAAGTGACCTTTGTGGGCCAGCTCAACATTCCTACCACAGAGGAAGAAGAAATTACATAAGACCAAGGATCAGAAAAGACAGACAAGAAATGAGGGTGACGGACACATGGAAAAAATCGAGCCCGCACTCTGTTGAATGCCGTTGACTGCCTCAGATGTGCGGCTACTTTGTTGAAGGAAGTTTAGAAGAAAAGCTTGCGACTTAATTACCCACAATCCCAAACCAGGGAACTCACACAAAAAAACAACAACGTTAAGAAGAAGTCAGAGTACGTACCTGCTACAGCTAAAATGCCGCCTTCTTTGGGTAGGTATGGAATCCATGTTCAGTGTCCGTGTCCCTTACACGAAAAAACATTTTTTCCGCCGAGGACACACCAGTCGGCGTGTCTAAACACCTGGTCTATCATGTAGGAAGTAATTTCATCAACGAATACCTGAAGATCCTGAAGCCTGATGAAAATCAAAAATCTTGGAACGCTCCACAGCCTGTCTTCGGGGAAAATGGTCGATCCTCTTATTCACATCTCAAACTTACTTTCAGGCTGTTGCTTTGTGCCTGAATAATTGTTTGCTCCTGGAACTAAAGAGGTGCATTGGCCCCAAAGCTGGCTATTGAGTTGTTCCCTTTGAAGTTTGTCAACATGTTTTTCGCATGAAGATGTTTTCTGGAAAAACAGAGATGAACATACAAAAAGCAAGATCTCAAGCCTCTCATGGCGGGAAATATGGCATTCTGTTTTAAAAGTTGAGGATTGATATGTACCGACCCACATCTTGCGGCGTCAAAACAATCTAGGCAAAACTTACCCAACAATTGCACCCTTCCGCCTCGTCCTTGAATTTCTCTGCCTGGTCTGCCATCACCTTATACACATGTACCCAGCCGAACTGTGCAAGTTATCTGAATCCAAGAAACCTACTGAGCGTCCTAGAGCCATGTCCTCTCATCCGTACATCAAGTTTCATGTTGTAACTACGCAGACCCCTTTGCAAAATGAAGTCGTTTTTTACCACTCGGGAAACGGCACTCTGCAGAACTGCCACTGCTTCTTGGCAGTTTGATTGGCAGGCCAATGTCATGGGCGTTAAACCTCACAGGCGATGCGTCAAAACGATGAATCCCTACGACCTTCTCGACCTCAAATCATGAATGATATTGAAAATGCTATCGACCACATTCATGTACTTTGATATACGTCATGTAAACTTCATGTATCGCTATGCCCTGTTGGTAGAGAACTCTGAGGGTCCAGGCCAGTTACATCTTTGGCCATGAGCGATGCCCTAGCCTCAAGTAGCATCCGCATTATGTTGCTTGGTCCGGAGACCTCGTTGGCGGCCAAGTGTAGGGCTGTCCGGCCTTGGCATACACCAGACAGACAACATCCAGGACCCAAGCAGACATCGCCGCCATGGTGAGCACATGGCAACTCGGCCGCTTCTGTCAGTGGCATCCACGGACGCGCGATTCTGCAGGAGCTGCTGAAGACAGTTTTCGTCACCCTTGAGGACGGCATTCTGTAGTTCGGTCCGGCAAGAATAAACATCATTCAAAATAAAAAGGAATGGCACAATCGAGATTGGGCGCACATCTACTTGCACATCTGATGGCTAGACTCGACCAAATTCAATGGCAATTGCAAAAATATAACAAGTCAAATTTTGCCAGTCAAGGAGCGGCGCTCTGCAGAACAGCCACCGCTTCCTTGCATTTCGAATCGCAAGCCAAATTCAAGGGAGTGAAGCCTTAGCGGCAAGTTTGACATCAAACGCCAGAACTGCGCGAGTTGACAGAAGAGCTCAAACCTTTCCAAATCAATATGACAAGGCTGTGTCAATATACGTACTGAAATTGAAAGCCCTCAGACTGAATCTACTCTCCATGGGAATTCAGTTGGATCCGAGCGCTCAGATCATACACATTCACATATTCTATGTGAAGACCTCTGAGGCTCCGGGCCGCTGAGGTCTTCAGCCTCAGTCCTGGCTCTGGCCTCCAGCAGTAGTTCGATGATTTTGACCGGTTCCAAGAGCTCACTGGCGGCCAAGTGTAGTGGTGTCCGGCCTCAGCGCCGCCGGAAAGCCTAAGAAAATAACACAAAAAGGTGCTGATGTGCCCTTCTCAACTGTCACTGGATTGGATCATGGAAGCATTGAATTTCACTTCTCAAGAACAACACTTGCAATTCTGTTCGCTCTAAGTTTCGGACCACTTCCGTCCGTGGCATCAACAGACGCGCGATTTTTCAGGAGCTGCTGGACGTAGTCTTTGTCACCGCTGCACACGGCATTGTGCAGCTCCGTCCGGCCTAGGTGACAAAGGTGACAAAGGTGACAAAGGTGACAAAGGTGACAAAGATGACAAAGGTGACAAAGGTGACAAAGGTGACAAAGGTGACAAAGGTGACAAACGTTCATACACATTGCTCCAAATCAAATTGAACTATTCTACGTTGTCAGGGTACAAAAAAACATGTGTCGTGATATCTTCAGCGAACTCCATGAGTTTTCATGAATTTTCAGATTCGAAGTGACATGAGCTGTACGAGTACCAGGAAGAAGCAGCAACCGCTGAGCTTGACAGATGGAGACGGTAGAAGTGGTAATCATTACTACGCTGTGACCCGGACAAACGTCAACCTCCTCTGCTGGCAACACATCCAGCTATTCACCTCAACTTTGAGCCCGCTGCCCAACCTGTTCTTCTTCTCGACAGCTTTGCCCTCAGCTGTGATGTCTTGGCCTTGGCATGACCAAGGCAGAATGGCTCCCAAAGGATTCCTAAGAGGATGCTGAGTCCCAAGCTCTCAGAGGATGCTGTGGCGGCCTGGTCGACAGGAAGGTGCATTCGAAAAAGGTTCACAGCCAGTGCATGGAAACATTCAAAATGGAATGGAGGTCATATTCAAACATGTAAAAAAAATAAACATAAAAGATCCTATTTGGGCAAAGTTTCTTTGCATGCCATGTATGCTAGCACAGGATATCAGGAACTATGTTTGTTTGGATAGACATGGTGGTGCCTGTTGACATAGCATTTGTGGTTGCTTCTTGATGCATTCCTGTCGAGGTTTACCGTACAAAAAAGCAAACAGGAATGCCATCCTACCGGTTGCGTGATGAATGGGACCAAAGGAATGAAGGGGAGGACGGCAAAGAATATTTGGTTTGTCCAATTATCCTCTAGTTGATTCGGCCTCCGCCCGTTCCTTTAAAGTCATCCAGGCTTCAAGGTCGTCAAGCACAGCCCGAACTAGCTCCTGCAGGGACAACATAGATGAACCAGTCGAAAACAATGAACCAACACTGCCAACACTGATTAGACAGATGGAACTGATGGAAACTGTGAAATTATGGATGCTGCTTCAAGGCATTTCAAGTCCATGTTCGGGAATTATGAAAGGTACAAAAAGTGTCGACTTGTCCCGTATTCACCGACTACACATGAGGAATTGAACGACAAGTCAAAGACGCTGCTAAGCCTGCCTATGAACCTGAATTTGTCTGAATTTGTAGTTTACGAGAAAAAAAACGTCTATGTACAACATGCGAATCTGCATTCCGCACCTCAGCTTTTGCGTTTGCAAGTGTATACGCTGCAAACTCTTCCAGCAGTCTTTTGACCTCCTCCTGTGGCGCAGTATGGGATGTACTTGATGGCCACCCTGCTCTGACACCGTGACGGATGTAAACAAGTACAGTATATAGATTGCTCGCTTTTCCATGATAGGGCTGGCAATGAAGGTTTGGCAAAGATATAACCGAAACATAGATAGAAATGGCACAGAAATGGTTTTCAGGTCAAACCCTGTTCTTTTGAGAATCATGGGTCTGCACCATCCAAAAACGCAACCATGTCGTGCCATGCCATTGCATGTTGGGTCCTGCTCCCGACTCGCATCTGAAATCTGGCTTTCGATAGTTTTCAGCTTCTCCTTCGAGAAACCGTGAGCCATGGTGGGTGAGGGATTCACTGAGTTTACAGCAAAAAGTCAAAAACAGGTACCCGGTGAAGGTCCACATGTCCAAGCCAACTTCAATTATGCATAAAGGGTGCATCCAAGCAAAGACCCTAAATATGCAGTTGTGTGCTAACAAATGAAGGGTAGCAGAATTGTTGTGATGCCAATGATGCAATCCAGGGAGTCACAGAAAACGGGACTGGAATATGATGAGATTGAACTCACCGTCTTTGACTTTTGTTTCTATATTATATTTTGTTCTATTTTATTCAAAAATCCTCGATAAGTGTAACCATCCTCAACTTTCTAAACCCTTGTTTTACCTGCACTCCAAATTTCCGGTCACCACGTGAACCTCGAATTTTTTGGCGCTCAATTCTTTGTTCCCGAAGACTGTCACAAAATGTGTTCAAGAAGGCCTTTCCAGGGCATGAAGCCGGACCACCAACATATCAAATCAGTCAAAAAAAAACGCAAAAACATTTAACGCTTGTTTAACTGCGTGTTGGATGTCATTTTCCACAGAAACGCAGCAGCACAGAAGCACATGTCACTTTTCCCGAATGCCTCCTCAAGACTGGAACATGACCTACATGTGTTTGCAAAGGAGATTCCAACCACAAATCGCAATGGGCCTTCAAATTGTCATTTGCCTGCTGAAGTTCGGCCAAAGCTGGCAAGTCCTTTCCAGCTGTGTCAAGACCGGACAACATGCTGAACAAAGGTTGACGCTGAGTAGTGACGAAAGATTGAAAACCACTAGAGACTGAAAACCACTCTTCTGTGACTACGTTGAACAGCCTCGTTGACTTGACACTTGGTCCCTTGTCTACATGACTAACTGTTCAACAATTCTGCGGTCGTTTGATAGCATCAAGTTTCCATGAAACGTGCTGCGGTAGATATCAGGAAGAAAACAAGGACATATCCAAGTTTGCCATTGACCTGCATGCTTATGTGGCGTCAACCATTTGTTTGATGTACAGTACCTGGTATGAATCAAAATAAGTTGCTGTCCCAGCACATCTGGGAACCCTGCGAACGTTCCCAAGGCCATCATTCTTTGCACGTGTTGTGCAACGGGAATTCCCGTAGAATGGTGAAACTGTACCGAAATGTCAAATCCAGGAAGGGTGGGTGGAGTGGATGCAATGCCGAAACTTCCAAGGTCCCTTTGGGCAACAAGCCCATCCAACACCATGGATTCAATTGAAATTGCTAATGAAAAGTATCATAAAATTCAATTTCAATCGCAATGAGAAAGATCATAGTTTGGCACAAACATGTGAAGAGCCGAAGTGTCCCAATGTTGCTTTGAACCTGAAAATGGAATGGTGTGACATCGATCGCGTATTACATGCACATACATGCACATCTTCCATGGCACTTTGACCCCACATTAAGCTTGACCACCTCTAACAGACCCTACAGAAAAAAAGAATCTATATATTAAAGCAAAACCTTGAAGTTCTTTCCTCCGAACATCGAGACATCACGCAACAGTCGACGGAGCTGTTAAAAGACTCCAGCTGAAGAATGGTATTTGTTACTTCTTGATGCGTCTTGCAATTTGCATTGGAAAAAGTCCTGACTGGGTTGCTGGGATGATCATGAAGCCAAGCTCCATGGATTTACACGTCATTTTGCGATCGTTTGCTCACCATGTCACTATACAATGAAAGACAACAATTTGGAGGTAATATGAGGTAATCAAAATTAAACAAATGAACTACTGACGGGAATCTTCAGGTTCAGGCTATACCCGTGATGGCTGCAGGAAGTCGAAGCCACTTGCTGAGCTCAATCCCAAACTGAGACGAAACTCAAATGGAACCTCTTCTCCGTGAGGCACCATGGAACAGATTGTGGTCATTTTGATGGGATAGTTGTTTGGTATTACTATGTATTATTAGATCATGGCGTTGAAACCATCCACTTTGAGACCCAATTCTGACCCATACTCGGTGACCCTGAAGGAGTTGGGCAGCGCATTTTTGATCACAGGGTGCACCTCAAAGGCACCTTTGGCCCGGAATCCGCTTTTGGACACCCCGGGAGCTTACCCCAGAGACCACTTTGTCAAGCCGAGGAGACCTTTGCCTGATGGGAAGGCAAACAAACACGAGGAAATGATGCTGTTCCATTAGGGCTTTAAGCAACAAACAATGGGGATACAATCAGCAAAGATTAGGGAAATCAGGGGCTAAGTGTAGTCGCCGCTCAATGCAGCTGACAAAATTCCCCTTTCCAAATTCATGATCAAACGATGTCAAAGGCTACCACAGGTGTGACGTGATCTTGCTACGAGCTCAGGTTGAAGGGTAAAACTGTAACCTTCATCAAATTTCACTATGGACCATGTGCCTCTCCAAAATGAAGCATTACTACATTACCATGTCGATACATAATACCGTCTTGAAAATTATTACCGGGGCCAGGGCCGTCTCAGTGCACATGGGCATGGGCAGCTGTCAAAATCAGATGTATTACAGTAGTATAAAGTTCTGATTCCTCCAAATTGATGGATTGTGGCTGACCTTTTACTACTTATTGCATCCTGACTACCACGAATATTGACAACCGCTCACATGAAACACCAAAGTAAAAACATCAGGCGGATTCGCAAACATCGCTCAGCTACTCCATGTGCCAGGCCTTCCGGTTCATGCCTTGGGCGGCGAGAAGGTGCATAGAGCATTTGCACTTCAAAAATGGTTGGACCGTTTGAGGGTTAAACCTGAAAACACGGAGATGTTGATAAGTCTAAGCTCATCATGAACGAACACATGACCAACGAACTGGTCCTTTTGGATCTTTTGTTACGGCGCATACCCATTAGTGACATTTTGGATCCCTTAGGCCATGTGTAGCTGGAGACAATCAACAAAGATCCAACCTGTTCTTGATGTTGTCTCCGAAGACCATGGAACTGGAATCCGGGTCACCGGGGTTACTGTAACACAGAGAATCGCATGCATGGGTACCAAATCAAGTCTGCACGTTCAATCAGATTCGTGGTTGATCTATGCTCACTTGTTGGCAGGTGGCTTGGGACGATGATTTCCCCGTTTCATTTGTCCAAAATTGGCTGAATAAACCTCCCCCGGTCTGGACTTGCACTGTCGCACGCCCCTTTCACGTTTTCCATCCTCACAGGCGCCGGAAGTTTTACTATGTTATATCAAGTTATATCCGTTGACACCCTTGGGCCACTGCAGTCCTTGAGGCCGAACCGTGCAGCCAAGAGGCTTCGTCCATCAGCAAGTTCACGATTTCCGTCTGGCACTCCTCTCTCGCCAGATCCACGGGCGCGTTGCCTGAAGACTGCTGACACCCGGACTGACACCCTTGAATATCTTCGATACATACTTGAACTATCTTGACTTGATCAACATGGGCATTGCCGACTTTGACAAGTGACGATTCAATGTGTGGCAACCTGTCTCTCATTCTTCGCATTGGCTAAAGGGTATCCAAGAAGAGTCCCCTCTGCAAATGTCAAAGGCAAGGATGAACTCCGAAATTACCTGCTTCAACAAAAACGTGCTACGTTGATTGTGACAGAGACACGTCCAAAATTCCGGCTCTGGCAAATCAAGGGTACTTTGAAGATGGGAACGAGACATAAAACATCCATTGAAATGTGGAAATCCCAATACCCATTGAATTTGTTGAATTTGACAGAAACGGAAAACATCATACAAGGCCAGATTGAACTTGATGGAACTGCACCACTTGCTCTTGCCGGGGAAAACTCTTCAAAACGGCTACAACATTCGCTGTGGCCGCCTTCATCGGGCCGATGTCCGCGGATTGCCAGGCTGCAGAGGCCGCTGAGAAAACGAGGCGGTGTTCGTCTCGGCATCTGGAGAGCACGGGGTCTCTCACCACTGAAATTGCCCAATTCGAGTGGATAAACCAGGGTAAAACAGGGTAAATCTGTTCATTGGAACCCCTGAATCTTGAATCCCCTACAACTTCAAAGGACTTTAATTCAACGTCGGGACTTTCGACACATAGTGCAAGTACAGGATACCTTGGTCTTCCATGTGTTCCATCTCTTTGGAAGCAAACTCTGTCGAGCTTAGTCTAACAATTTAGCCATTGGTTTGTATGAATTCCACGCATGAATGCCGCTCTGTTTCACAGAAATGATACATTTTTGCTTGAAGCGTTCGGTCACCATCTTCAATAAATACTGAAATACTGCATGTCTGGAAAACGCACACTCTAACCTCCTAAAAGAAATTGCACTTTCTTCAAAACGAAAGACTTCCATGCCGGCAATGTTGCACATTCTCCAAATGATGCACGTTCTTTTATTAGCCATGCACATTTGCAAAATATGCCGTGGTTGTGGAGTTACTTCCTTCAAGGAGTGCTGTCTTGAGATTCATGCTATATTTACTCAAAATGCGGTTTATTTGTTCATGCATGGGCTCTCAAAATGCGAATGGTTCTCCTTTCGCAAAGGAATACCTCGTTGTGCAAAATGTGTAGAAGGAACAAGATGGAATAAGACTTTCTTAAAGACATGCCGCAGTTTCTCACAGAGATCGTGGTGTCCAGAAGGAAATTTGCACGCGCTTTGTGCTTGATCTGCTGCGCGTGCTCAACGAAAGACTCAGTTTTGCTTTATAGACACTCCCATGTCTTACAGTACTGTTGCTTTTGACAATCGACCCAAAGGCGTGTTTAAACTCTGTCACTTCGTTTGTGGTGTCCTTTTGTCAAATTGTCTGACACTTCCTACTGCACTTTTGTCTGCCCTGTGTGTAGCACTTCTACTGAGGTTTTCTGATACTTTCTATTAATGGATCCCTCAAACACACAACTCCTCAGAGGCGGTGGCATAGAAATGATTGAACTTATCGAATAGCAGCTCCGTGGCAGCTCCGAACACCACAATTCATCATATTCGCCAGAACAAGACGTCAACAGATTGGCACCTGTTTGAGCTGCAAGCCACAGCCAAACCTACAGTGACAACGGGTGTCATCCGAGTCTTCCGACATTTCTCTCACAAAATCCCTACAGGTGATCACGCAAGAATGCAATCTGGACGTGTCTAAAATTGAGGAGTTATCCCGAGTAAAATTTTCCATCAAATAATCAGGTTTTAAACCATGGGATTTTAGGGGTGCCCATCTGCATTCCCTGCTATCCCACTGAAATCTAAATGGAACATGCAGTTGAGAACCCCCCCATCTAAACTTGATGTGTCCGTCTTATTCCACTTCTTTTGCAGAGCATGGTGAACATGCATGGAGCAAAGCTAGTTTGATGAATGTCTAAACTTCTATGCCAACCAGTTTATTAAAACAACCTTGCGTAGCCTCGTGGTTCTTTTGAAGAAAGTAAAACAAAAGCACCAAATACCGCATTACCAGCATCATCAATCTTTTGACAATAGAATCAATAGAATGTGTGTATAATATATATATATATACCATATTATATACATAATAATGTTGTATGATATTATATATGGATATATATGGTAACGATATTTGGACAGAGTCTCTCAAATGAAGGCATCCCTGCGCCACAGTGTCTTTTACCCAATACCGCCGCCATGCTGTCCACAATAGCACCCTCAACCAGGCCCACCTTGCCACCAGGAAGACCCCTCATGACATGAGCGCGGAGCATCTTTGCCTTCCACTATTTGTGCACGTGAATCTGAACTGTGTTTTGTTTCCAACACATACAGCGGTTTATTTGTTAATGACACTGTTGCTCAAAAAACACACCAACGAATACGAAGGAATGATAACAACAAGAGCATCAAACTCTTTGGGTCACTGCCAGAACTATCTTGCAGTTTCCGGAAAATGACTAAAATTCAAGCAAATGTCGCGCCTCAAGCCTGGAGTTCTTCTTCGCGAAGCAAGGGCTGGTAACACAAGGCGAAACAGTCTTGCAGGTCCTGGAAACACAATGTTTGATCCAAACACCTGAAGACCATACCTCAGAATCCTTCAGAATCTGGGTTTGGTACCTGAAAATGCTGAGAAACCCACAATTTTGCTCAAAGTTCAAAGCCTCATGAATCCCATTATTTCATGGCAATGTTGGGGCCCGTTGTTTGGCAAACCTATCGGTTTTTGCATGTTTGTTCACGACATTCACAAGCACCTGCCAGAACTGCACAGCCATGGAGTACTGCCGCGCTGCCTGTCAAAAATGAACTTCGGGAAACACATGTTTTTTTTCGATTGAAAACCAACCATGCTCAAAACGATGTCGAAAGGCTGCCTCGTTGTGAATTCCAAAGGAAAAACAAAAACCGTTTGAACAATGTTGATACACTGGACAGCTCATCTACCAAACGTGTAGCAGTCACTATTCACTTGACCCCTTCACTGAAACGCCGCCTTCGCATGAACTCTCCGAATGATTCCTGGTATGTCTCGCTCCAAGAAAACGTCGCCCTTGGTCACCACACCGTTGCAGAACTTCCAAAAACCTCCAAATTGTTTGATAAAATGTGCAGTAAAAAAAAATAAGTGTTCGACTTGCATCTCGCGTGGCACGCGCAAAGATTCATAGTCCCATGGGTTGGGCAGGACCCCATCCCACATTTGAAACACGAATTGCCACTCAGCCATGTTTGGCAGCTTGAGCCAGCAACTGAACGTCTGAAAATTCCATAGCATGTGCGCGCACTAGTCACTAGCCACTTCTGAGTCTGTGCTGAAGGTGCATGTAAACAGAATATCGTGACATGCACCAACAACTGAAAATCTTAGGGTTCCCTGTAAAACTGTGAGAAAAACGTTGCACACGGCAAGCTCCAAAACCTCCGCTGATGGCCTGCAACATGAAACATATGAAACGCCGTATCATGCTGTCTTCATGAGTTTCGGACACGTGGCGGAAGAACACATGCGCTTACACAGGAACCTCCTTTTCCACTGCAAGAGAAGTTGCGGACTTGGCCGAGGCTTGGGACCGGCGGATTTGGATATAGAAATGCAATTGAATGGATAATGAATGCATAGAAAGTTCTCTTTCCGTTGCAGCAATAGAAACACCACAACAGCACAAAATGAGTCATTATAATTCATTATAGGGTTTCAGTCGGCAACTGCACAATGAGGTTGGCGAAATGGGTTGTCTCTACGCCTAACTTTCTGATATTTTTGTTTAACATCTTCAAAACCAACCCGCACAGAGGCCAACAGGCATCTTCACCTCTATTACAGAAGCATTGCCCTCGAATGCTCCGGCAGCTCAGACACCAAGGGCTCAGTTGCTAGTTGGGACGGCACTTCGTCCTCAGGACCACTGGCCTAGGAAGCAAACTCACCTATCTCACCTGTGTGGGGTGGATCTTTTGGGTCTTTAGTTCTGACTTGGCTGCAATGTGAATATCTATAATTAGTCGAAGGTCGGGTTCGGCCAGCGCTACACACCATGTTCCAAAATAGTTTCTGCATAACCCACGTGCTGGTAGGGAAAACTTGCAGCTTTTGCATGCTTTTGCTAGACAATTTCACATATTCAAAACGCAACTGGGACATCCACAAGCCGTGCGTTTGTTGGGAAGCAGAATGCCGGCCTGTTGTGTGAAGCAACCTCCCGTTTCTGGTCCTTGCGACTGCTGTTCGAGCTATTGTTGCTGGAGGCGGCGTGACACCTACTTGGCTACCCCAAAGCCCACCACCTCAGCCTACTTCACCACCAGTTGCTCACCCTTGCTCCCATCATCTCCCATCCCAGGGATGCTTGCCTTGCTGAGTTCCAAGTGCTTCTGCTGCAGCATCGCATGCTTCCGCTACGGGCCTCAGAGAGCAGCAATCCGTAGCAACAGGTCGGACTCAGAACCAGGTGTGTTCCTATACACTAGGCTCACTAGGCTGTTGGAAGTTTATACTGTCCTAAAGCGTTGGGAACTCGTTTCATATTCCAAGTGCCTCCGCTTCATGGGCCCATTAAGAACCCTAGGCACAAGAACCACGTCAAGAGTCAAGAGCCTTGCATTCACTATTAACGCGGCTTTTCCTCGAAGCCATCAGTCAAGAGAAAGGGCATTTGCCAAGCTTCTTGGCGTGGCATCTGCTACTGACAGCATCACGAGTGGTGTTGAAACATGAAGGGATACACCCCTCTGAGCCCACTCCCGAAGCAGAAGTGCGTTCTATGTCTGTCTTACGCACGTGAGCTTCTGCCTCGCATGTGAGCAGCCCCGCTCAAGATCGCTCAAGTGCATGGGCTCATTGAGCAGTAGCTGTAGCCAGTGCAGCCCGCGCAAGTGGCTGGCACACTGCACATATACTCCCCGGCAGCGCATGTGACTGGACAACCGGTGCTCATGGGATAGCAGCTGTCAGTCATAGTCACTGAGTCCCAGCAAGCCATTTCATTCAAACCACAGGTGATTGGGCAAGTGGACGGCGAGCACCAATTGTAGCCATGGCACCCTTGACAGGTAGGTGGCGAGTGGCACACGTGCTCGCCAGCGGCACATGTGACCGGGCAGCCTGTGCTCATGGGGTGGCAACTGTCCGTCATAGTAGTCGAGTCATGGCACATGACCTCGTCCATACTGCAGGTGATTGGGCATGGAGTAGTCGAGCACCAATTGTAGCCTTGGCCGTTGCACATGTGCTCCCCAGCAGCACATGTGACCGGGCACCCTGTGCTCATGGGGTGGCAACTGTCCGTCATAGTAGTCGAGTCATGGCACATGACCTCGTCCATACTGCAGGTGATTGGGCATGGAGTAGTCGAGCACCAATTGTAGCCTTGGCCGTTGCACATGTACTCCCCAGCAGCACATGTGACCGGGCACCCTGTGCTCATGGGGTGGCAACTGTCCGTCATAGTAGTCGAGTCATGGCACATGACCTCGTCCATACTGCAGGTGATTGGGCATGGAGTAGTCGAGCACCAATTGTAGCCTTGGCCGTTGCACATGTACTCTCCAGCAGCACATGTGACCGGGCACCCTGTGCTAATGGGGTGGCAACTGTCCGTCATGGTGTTCGAATCATGGCAAACGATCTCGTCCACTCCACAAGTAACGGGGCAAGTGGACGGCGAGCACCAGCTGTAGCCATGGCAACCTTCACATGTAGGTGGGGAGTGACACACATGCTCGCCAGCAAGACATGTGACCGGGCACCCTGTGCTAATGGGGTGGCAGCTCTCCGTCATGGTGTTCGAATCATGGCAAACGATCTCGTCCATGCCGCAGGTTATTGGACATGGGCTCATTGAGCACCAGCTGTAGCCATGACAAGTTTCACATGTAGCTGGACTGTGGCACACATGCTCCCCAGCTGCACATGTGACTGGGCAGCCTGTGCTAATGGGGTGGCAACTTTCCGTCATGGTGTTCGAATCATGGCACAAGATCTCGTCCATGCCACAGGTTATTGGACATGGGCTCATTGAGCACCAGCTGTAGCCGTGACAACTTTCACATGTAGGCGGACTGTGGCACACATGCTCCCCAGCAGCACATGTGACCGGGCAGCCTGTACTGGTGGGGTGGCAGCTCTCTGTCATGGTGTTCCAATCATGGCAAACGATCTCGTCGATTCCACAAGTAAGGGGGCAAGTGGACGGCGAGCACCAATTGTAGCCATCGCACGTGTCACAGTAAGGTGGCGTGTGACACACATGCTCACCAGCAGGGCAAGTGACTGGGCAACCAGCACTCTTCGGATGGCAGCTGTCTGTCATGGTAGTCGAGTCATGGCACAAGGTCTCGTTCATGCTGCAGTACAATGGGCATGGGCTCATTGAGCACCAGTTGTAGCCATCGCACGTGTCACAATAAGCTGGGGTGTGACAAACATGCTCTCCTGCAAGGCATGTGACCGGGCAACCTGCACTCTTTGGATGGCAGCTGTGTGTGTGTCCGGTCGAGTCATAGCAAATGAGCTCGTCAGCACTGCAAGTGACCGACACCTTCTTGGCGCCTTCCTCCAAGCGGTGCTTGGTCTGCAAGGCACATGCTCCTTTGGCGTCAAGGTCTGCGACAGATACGCTAATCAAACTGAGAAGAATCAAGAACATGGCCGTGGCGAATGTCCTAGAACAGTCGAAACAGGGAAAGGTGGCGCTTGAAAGCAAGAGATGGCTGCGGCATGAGAGTGCCTTCCAAACACACATTGAAAGTGATAAGCAGGCCATGTTTCACTTCTCACTTTTGCTGCTATGCTTACCAATGCCAACTGTGCCTCGAAACTCCCAAAAATATGTCAAACTGCCTGTCAGCACTTGGGACCCTGCTCAGTCCAAGGGTCATCTTGTCCAACCAAATCCAACCTTTCTGGAGCAAACGAATCTGTTGGAGGATTTACAATGTAAGAATCCCCCACCAAATTTACCGTGTGAACCCAATAGTCAGTCCACCCCTGCTCATTTGAACAGGGATACCCAGCTCTTGGGATTTGGGTCCCGTTGGTGCGACGTACACTGTGTTACACACAAATGCTGTAGTTATAGTATATCACCTGCTCTTCTGAAGCACCTTGTTAGTGCTTTCACCAGCAAAGCAGGACACCAAACCAAGCAGGACCGGAGTTTAGACTGTAGAGGTTAGATATGTACAATATGTTATATTATATTATGTTATATTATATTATATTAGATGTTTTTATTTTATTTAATTTTCTTTTACATTATATTATATTATATTAAATTGTATTATATACAGGATATTATATATAATATAATATAATATAATATAATATAATATAATATAATATAATATATATATATCATGTATGTACTTATATAAGCAACCTGCATGTCGCCCACTTTTCGCTGCAGAGCAAAGACTTCGGATGAACCGTGGAGGCAGGGGCGAAATCCAAGACCAAAGAGTCCAGAGGGAGATGCAGGCAGTGAGGCCAGAGACAAATCCAAGAAGAGATAGCAACAAAAGCAGAGAGACGGGTGGTTGAACGCAGTAAGCAGGACACCCCAGGCTCCACCAATTGTTTCTGGCCCCCTCAAGGCAGAATCCTCAGGACACTATCGACCATAGAGCTTGAGATTGAAAAGGTCAGTCATTGGGTAGCTTGTGGTCAGTCATATTCACTATATCAACTATATCCATATTGTAAATGGGCAGCACTTCTTTTGACCTTGGATTATATCATTCAAGTAACCTTGCCTCTTTTTGCTCCCCCTTGCTCCCATCATCTCCCATCCCAGGGATAAAGCACATGTGCAGCTCGAGAGAAGGGGAATGGAATTTGTCCGCCGTCGCTGAAAATGTTCAGTGGCGCCATCTCTTGAAATGGAAATATATGAAATATAGACCGCGCCAGCCTCTTTGTTTCAGGGTGACAAATGAGATTGAGTCTGGCACTCTCTGGTTGGGTTTCATTCCTTCCCAACAATTCTGAAAGGATGAAATGAACTTTCAGGACTCTACTAGAGCTAGCCCAGTGCAAATCAGAATCCATGTGTCTGCGAGGGGTGTGGCTCATCCGCACATAGTTCCTTTCCTCAACAGGTTCTTTTCCTCTGTCTTCTTGGGGCTTCAAAACAAAGTAGCAAATCCGACTTGAGGACAATATATCGCTCCCGGCTCTCCGCGCTACCAGAACAATGCCAAAAGCACCCCACCCTCCATCGTCACACTGAACCAAGGCTACCACCTCAGCCTACTTCAACACCAGTTGCTCCCATCATCTCCCACCTTGCTGAGTTCCAAGTGCTTCTGCTGCAGCATCGCATGCTTCCGCTACGGGCCTCAGAGAGCAGCAATCCGTAGCAACAGGTCGGACTCAGAACCAGGTGTGTTCCTATACACTAGGCTCACTAGGCTGTTGAATTTTATACTGTCCTAAAGCGTTGGGAACTCGTTTCATATTCCAAGTGCCTCCGCTTCATGGGCCCATCAAGAACCCCAGGCACAAGAAAATTCTGCTTTTCCGCGTCAAGAGTCAAGAGCCTTGCATTCACTATTAACACGGCTTTTCCTCGCAGCCATCAGTCAAGAGAAAGGGCATTTGCCAAGCTTCTTGGCGTGGCATCTGCTACTGACAGCATCACGAGTGGTGTTGAAACATGAAGGGATACACCCCTCTGAGCCCACTCCCGAAGCAGAAGTGCGTTCTATGTCTGTCTTACGCACGTGAGCTTCTGCCTCGCATGTGAGCAGCCCCGCTCAAGATCGCTCAAGTGCATGGGCTCATTGAGCAGTAGCTGTAGCCAGTGCAGCCCGCGCAAGTGGCTGGCACACTGCACATATACTCCCCGGCAGCGCATGTGACTGGACAACCGGTGCTCATGGGATAGCAGCTGTCAGTCATAGTCACTGAGTCCCAGCAAGCCATTTCATTCAAACCACAGGTGATTGGGCAAGTGGACGGCGAGCACCAATTGTAGCCATGGCACCCTTGACAGGTAGGTGGCGAGTGGCACACGTGCTCGCCAGCGGCACATGTGACCGGGCAGCCTGTGCTCATGGGGTGGCAACTGTCCGTCATAGTAGTCGAGTCATGGCACATGACCTCGTCCATACTGCAGGTGATTGGGCATGGAGTAGTCGAGCACCAATTGTAGCCTTGGCCGTTGCACATGTACTCCCCAGCGGCACATGTGACCGGGCAGCCTGTGCTCATGGGGTGGCAACTGTCCGTCATAGTAGTCGAGTCATGGCACATGACCTCGTCCATACTGCAGGTGATTGGGCATGGAGTAGTCGAGCACCAATTGTAGCCTTGGCCGTTGCACATGTACTCTCCAGCAGCACATGTGACCGGGCACCCTGTGCTAATGGGGTGGCAACTGTCCGTCATGGTGTTCGAATCATGGCAAACGATCTCGTCCACTCCACAAGTAACGGGGCAAGTGGACGGCGAGCACCAGCTGTAGCCATGGCAACCTTCACACGTAGGTGGGGAGTGACACACATGCTCGCCAGCAAGACATGTGACCGGGCAGCCTGTGCTCACAGGGTGGCAACTTTCCGTCATGGTGTTCGAATCATGGCACAAGATCTCGTCCATGCCACAGGTTATTGGGCATGGGCTCATTGAGCACCAGCTGTAGCCATGACAACTTTCACATGTAGGCGGACTGTGGCACACATGCTCCCCAGCAGCACATGTGACCGGGCAGCCTGTACTGGTGGGGTGGCAGCTCTCTGTCATGGTGTTCCAATCATGGCAAACGATCTCGTCGATTCCACAAGTAAGGGGGCAAGTGGACGGCGAGCACCAATTGTAGCCATCGCACGTGTCACAGTAAGGTGGCGTGTGACACACATGCTCACCAGCAAGGCAAGTGACTGGGCAACCAGCACTCTTCGGATGGCAGCTGTCTGTCATGGTAGTCGAGTCATGGCACAAGGTCTCGTTCATGCTGCAGTACAATGGGCATGGGCTCATTGAGCACCAGTTGTAGCCATCGCACGTGTCACAATAAGCTGGGGTGTGACAAACATGCTCTCCTGCAAGGCATGTGACCGGGCAACCTGCACTCTTTGGATGGCAGCTGTGTGTGTGTGTCCGGTCGAGTCATAGCAAATGAGCTCGTCAGCACTGCAAGTGACCGACACCTTCTTGGCGCCTTCCTCCAAGCGGTGCTTGGTCTGCAAGGCACATGCTCCTTTGGCGTCAAGGTCTGCGACAGATACGCTAATCAAACTGAGAAGAATCAAGAACATGGCCGTGGCAAGCAAATGTCCTAGAACAGTTGAAACAGGGAAAGGTGGCGCTTGAAAGCAAGAGATGGCTGCGGCATGAGAGTGCCTTTCAAACACACATTGAAAGTGATAACTTCTCGCTTATGGTTTATGCTGTTACGCTTACCAGTGCCAACTGTGCCTCAAAACTCCCAAAAATATGTCAAACTGCCTGTGAGACAGCGGCACACCGAAGCACTTGGGGCGCTGCTCAGTCCAAGGGTCATCTCGGCCAACCAAATCCAACCTTTCTGGAGCAAAGGAATCTGAGGATTTACAATCTAGGAATTCCATGGAATTCCCACAGCGAACCTACCGTTACAGTGTAAACCAAATAATTACCTGGCCCATTGTGGACCGGTGGACCGGGATCCATTCAACGCTGCAACACTGATCGCTGGTGGTTTTTCACTCTCGGCCTGCGCTGTTCGCGTCATCACTGGAGCTGGAAATGTGCCGCTGCGTCTCCACAGCCCGTATGGTCGCAGATGTCATCAGATGAATCAGATGTCCATATCTTCCTTAATGTGACCAATCTGATGTGCCAAGACAGAGCTGGCTCGTGGACTGCAATTTGCTTCGACTTTGTGTTGCCTTCAACATGTCCAAACAGTGTTGAAACAAACGTTGAAAGCATGGCCATGCACTCCAATGCAAGAAGTATGAAAGTACATAACACTGTGTACAGTAAACCAAATGCACACTTCACCTGGTCGCCTGAAATTCAATCATGTTGAATCAAAGAACGCAAGACAAACTATGGATAGTCAAAGCAACCATGCACAGAGCGTGAAAATCAGACAGAAACTGCACAGAGAGGACCAAAAAACGGAACTAGTTTGATTCAGGTTAATATTTAATTCTCTACCGCCTGTGTGGAAAATGTCTTCGTCCGCTCCCTGGAGATGGGCCCAAAACAAAAATCGACCCTGGGAGCATCTCAGGTGTATAATTTCATAGTGGAATTCAAGGGTCAAGCGCATATTCCTTGATGATAGGCCCAACCAATATCAGATTCCACCAACGAACTGAATATTCTTCTGGCAGGTTCTGCGTTGACTTGGAAAGCTGCCAGTGTTCTCTGTTTTTGTGCTCTTCTATGCGATGAAGAGTAAAATCAAGAAAAAAATGATATCGTTTCACACTACCCCCAAACCCTAAGATGAACTGATACCAAAGAACATTCTTGGGTTTACACCAAATTTCATTTTGTAAAAGGCGCCACTCTTGATCGCTTTCCAATTTTTCGATTGCTGTGTCGTCATTTGACAAGGGGAACAGCTACCTGGTAGCTGTTCCCTTTGTCAAGTGACGACACAGCAATCGACCAATTCGAAAGCGATCAAGAGTGGTGCTGGGCGGGACATTGTTTGCGGGCCGCCAATGTAGCAACTACGGCACTCGGGCCGCAAGCCACCTGAAAAAGTGGGCAGGAACCCGAAAAGAGGGGAATGTGAGCCACTAAAACTACACCGCTGATGAAACTGTGCCTCGAATCGAACATTTTTCTTCCGATGTTGCTTCATCGCCACTTTACGGAGCAAACAGGCCCCGTCAAGGCTACAAAAGTTACAATAAAGAGGATTTGGGGGGGAAAAAAAACCGTGTTCCCTTCAACCCGGTGATGTCCTCATGTTTGCACCGCCCCGGCCTTTGCAAGAACTGCGTGCAATCGAGCATTTTTTGGGACACGGAATCCTCACAGGTTGTCCAGTAGCACTCGCTGTTGGGATGGATTAGCAAGAGTGATAATCCCAGTATCATGTTCCTTTGCAATCACAGGGATCCATTGCCTTTTTTCCATCAAAAATGTTGTCATATGTTGTCCAAAACCACCGAAATCAAAATCCTGCAAGTCCGAAACCTACCTCTTCTGGTTTTGTCGGAACACCGACCCGGCATACATCCACCAAACGACCATCATTATATATTCCTTTCAATTTTGTAAGAATTGTGGGTTGTAAACCTTATCTTGGTCCATTAGGACAAGTTGGGCAGCCAGTCAGAGACAGCACACCTCAACGCATTCACCAAACATCGAGCCAAAATGAACCAAACTCAGATGGCCCGGGGCCTGTGACTGAGTAGCGCTCTCAACTACCTCGGACACACGAGGTTCACAACTGTGCAACTAGGTTCGTCCAAGCGAGTCCCAACATCTGGTGATTTTGAAAGTCCTACCTTCCGGGTTGACATCCCCAAAAATCCTCTTCAATTTGTTGTTTCGTTTACTGAAATTGATCATTTCCACTGTGTCACAAACAAAACTGCCGGCTGAAATTTGAACCATGTTGAGAAACATTTGCCAAGCTGCCAATCGGATGAACACAACTACTATACATAGAAAAATTGATATACGTACAAAAACAAACGTTTTGAACCGAAATTGATTAAGCGGAGGGAATTCCAGTTTCGCTGAAAATCCAAACATGCCGGGCACAACTCCAACGTTTGACCAAGATGGTTCATTTCTAGCGAGGCACAAAAATGCCAAACGATGAATTAGGGCCAGGTGTCTACTGCTGTACCTTCACATCGCATACAAAAAAAATTGAAACCTTCCGGATTTTGGCCTCAATCATGTGGATTTTTTTTCGGATCCGAATCTTTTTGGAACCGAAAGCACCTCAAAGATATGAGCTGATTCCATCTGCATGTGATATGCGGTGACATGTGAAAACAAGCAGCTATGCTACCTGAAATGGAGTGAGTGCAATTGTCGTTACATATTTGCACCCCGCCTTAACTCAAAGTTTTGCTAATCCCTTAGGGCTCATGTCAGCCCGTGGAGGTGCTTCTATTGGGATTTTGTGCAAACGTTTTGGCACTGAAGCCACATGTGAGACTCTTGTCTCTCACACCGTGACAGCATTCAGGTGGTGCCATCTGAAATCTTCCGGTTTTCACTCTCAGAATTCCTGTTCTCCTTCGTCAGTTCAGTTTCATCTCTTTCATCACCAGCAAGGCCACAATGGATCACGGCCCACTCATCTGTTTCTGAGACTTCACACTGATCCCTGTTTTGGTACCTGGAGAGACGTTGGGAGGCTGTCTCCTCAGGCATGGATTCATCACTTGATTCCACCGCAAACTCAAGGCACCTATCAAAACTCAAAGTTGCGAGTTGCGACCTGAATTGGACGGTGATTGATGCGTAAAATGTCTGAAAATTCTGCCTGGGGCCTGGGTCATCTGATCCTACTATATCGCTGATTGTTCGAGCAGCTCCATAAGCCGAATAAATACATCAACGACTCCAACCTGGCAATTAAAAGTCTTTTCGTTGAAACGTCGGCTGGATTCATGGTTCCCAGAACTGCTTTCACTTGCAACACTTTCTCAATCACAAGATTCTGGAGCCAGAGTACCCTTCAGCTGAGATGGCTCAAACGACCAACACCCCGACGTGAGAGAACTCCCCTTCCAGCTGAAGAATCCAGGTAGAGATACATGAGGATTCGAACTTGGAGTACCCAACACAAAATGGTCCATGACAGCTGAAACAGCAGCATATGTTTCCGACTCTGCACTGGATAGTGACACAATCTTCTGGGTCCTTGATGATGAGTACACCAAGCAACAGCCGTAGAAAATGGCGCTGCCAGACACCGAACGTCTGGTGTTGCGGTCTGCAGCCCAATCCGCATCACTGAATATTTCCAAAACGGGCTCTTCGCATTCATAGTCTCGAAGCAAACCAGAATGGATACGCTTCCACTTCAGAGAAACATACTGGTTTGAGTGACCTGCCATGTAGCCAACCACATGCTTCAAGACCACCATAGCCTTTTGTGTGCACATGTTGAAAGATACCGGATCACATACTGGCACTGTGGCAAGTCTGGAGACAAATAAAGTAAGATCCCAATGCAGGATATACACAGAAGGATCATGAGGTTTCAGCTCCTCGCTGTTGTCAGGAGTTTCGATTTCACTGTGGCCAGGTGACCGCTTGTTTTGAAGTCGTTTTGACAAACGCAGCAGCTTGCAAAGTTGATCCAAGTGCTTTGGATGGATGCGAATCACCAACCTTCCATTATCAAGCAATTGGTGCGTCTTCTTCAAAAACGTCACCTCATCACCTGGTCCAGACATGATTTCGATTGAAACTGTGTACTTTGCTTGCAAAGAAGGAATGAGTTCCTCCATAACAGTCTTCCGAGAACCCACGATTAGGATGTCATCAATTTGCACCAACATCAAACAATCACCTTTGGCTGAGCGCAGCATAGATGGATAAGCCTCGTTCTCAACCATCTTGAGACTGCTGTTCCCAAGAAAGTTCACCACATCCTTGTGCCAGAGAAGGCTACCATCACGTTAACCTGGCAAAGCTCTGCCAAGGCGTATGAGATTGAAGTTCCGTTTGCACCGTGAGAAAAGCGTCTTTCACGTCGATTGCAAGCATCAAAGTCTCTTGATGTTCCCTCCAACCCAGAAAACAAATTGGGAGAATCCTGGTGGCAATGTTGGATGAAGCCGGAGAAAACAAGGCTTCATGGCCAGGCCGTAGCCATGTGTATTCCCGTGCCACCAATCTACTCCTTCTCAACCAGATTGGGTTGCCAGCTTCGTCTTTCTGCTCTCTCCATGTTCGCACAAAACGAGTGCTCAAACATATTGCATCTGCAGGCAGGGTGTCCTAAAGAAGGACTTGTAGGCCAGACAAACATTCGATCTCTACTTGATCTGCAATGCTGTCAAGCCTTTGCAGTTCTTCAGCACTGAATTCAGGCTCCTGTGGACTGTTTGGATAGCTGGGTTCTTTCATGTGGGCACAAATATGCCCATACGGGTCCTCTTCCAGGTTCAATTCATGTTGCAGGATAGTGTGGAAGTCCTGATCTTCCAGCGTCACGTCGAGTTCAATGTCCAAATGTTCGATTTTGAGCATCTGTCCTAGCAAGTTGACACCACCTGGACCATCACCATGTTTGGCAACCTTGTTGGGAGACATCATGCGATCGAGTGAAGTGACATCCACCATTTCATGACCTGCCTCTGACCGTGGAGTCTGTGGCATTACATCACCATGAGGACTTGAAATGCCACCAGTTTCAGAATGCAAACGCTTGGAATCACCACCTGTATCCTCGTGCTCTGCATCGTGTTTGCCAGAACGATTCTTTGTTTATACTGAAGGCTCAGCACTTTGTTGCATTCCAGCATCAGAAGCTTGCGCACTCGATGCAACTCCAGGTGCACCATCGAGAGATCGTGCATGTACTGGTGGTTGTTCGCCAGCTTCTGCAGGGGTAGATGTTGCAGAGTCCCCCGCGCCTCTGCCGACATGGTTTTGGCATCAACATCCTCATATGGATGCGCTCTTGCATAGTCACGCACCACCAATGCATCTTTGTCACCCAAATTGAGAGTAGCGCCAACTGCAACTCCAGGAGGAAGAGCGGATCTCCTTGAGTAAATCAAACGATGTCCCAAAGTGGCATAGCCATACTCCCACGGTGGTGCTGCGATTTCACCAAGCATTTCCAGTT